AATTATACGATGCATCTACCAAACCATTTTTTTTTTTAAATAAATATATAAATTTTGTTCATGGTACTTCTGCGTATATATTTGCAACTTTTAATAATTTACAAAGATACATATGCATATATGTATATTTAAAATATTTTCTACACTTTACACAAATTCAGTCTATCATTAGAATATAATATTTTATATTCTAATATTCTTAGAAAATGTAATTTATATTTTATTCGTAGTATTGTTATTCGTATTATGGTTTTTCCTGATTTTTGTATAGATGTCAACTTTAATCCTTGCTTAAATGAATGTAAGTGTCGTTATACTATATTTAATAAATATAGACAAATATTCCATATTTTACGATGACCATAACATCCATGGAAACGCCCAACAAATTCCGAAAGTATAATACAGCTTTAAACTTAATTGTTTATAGGAAGCTCTTTCTTATTATTATTATTATTTTTAAGAATTATTATAATTAAGAATCGCTTCGAAAATAATACAGAGGACTCGAAATTAGTTTATAGCTTAACAATTGATAATCTAAAAACTCACATAATGTTTTTTTTTTTCTTCGTCAAGAACTTTGATTGCAATCACATGGAATTTCCATTTTGTGTGTAATTAGTGGAGCTGAAGCTGAGCTCCATTGTTTATGAGCTGGGCAAATGTGAAACTTATCTAGTGGGCGATATTGTCAATTACTTGAAGTTGACTAATTGGATTTGAGCCAAGTCCTGCATGGAGTTAAGCCTGGCAGATGGCCTGGCATCGATTAGCTAATTTTAGCCAAGTTCTGGCGGAGGCTGGGGCTGGGGCCTGGGGCTGGGCGCGTCTGCAGTTCCTGCAGATAGACGATCTCAGCAGGCGACTATTCCGACTCATTTATTGGTATCCATATGAATTACTTATGCACACACACATATACACACACAGAAAGTAAGAGAGAGAGAGAGAGAGAGAGAGAGCTAGAGATAGGGAGGGAGAGGCACTCATTAGTCTTGGCTCAAAGAAATGCCGCAACATGAAACCGAATGTGAATGCACAAGACTTAACAAAAGACTAGATTTCTGAGATTACGTTGACATTTTGGAAGGGCAAGAGCAGCTCAGCTTATCTGCCATACATATCACACACTAACACACACACATACACGGCATGATATAGAGCCTGATTGCACCTACCTATCATAGAACTAGCATTATTTTCGCTCGAAAAGCTCAGTCTGTTACAATTGTTCGGAAATCCAATAAGAAAGAGCAATGACGACGACGACGACAACAACACAGGYACACGCGAATCACGGCGAATTGAGCAACGGCGCAGCGAAAACGCGTCTTCTACGGCCAAGCAACGTTGAACGAATGACGAAGCCTGCGCGCACAAGCAGTTGTTCAAGCCGAGCTGCAACACGAGCTTGCTTGCTCTCAGCTGATTGGCTCAATGAAAAGCTTCATGAGGATCGAAAAGTTGCGCAAGTGTGCGTTGGAGCGAGAGCTGCTATTGGTTGCAGCGTGTCTGACTGAGTGTGTGTCACTGCTTAGGGAACTTAGCTCAGACAAGAACCAAAAGCTTTTACACGCCGTTCAAATAAAAAGCAGTTTGATTTTCACATTTAAAAAATTTATTTTTTTTTTTGTATTTTTTATTTTTTTTATTCAACTTTTACACAGAGAAAAATGAAATTGCAGTTTTTTTTTGCATTTGTTTCGTTTTGTTTATATATATATATATGTATATATATTTTTGTCATATTTTGATTAATTAAAATTTGTTAAATTGCTAGAATTTGTTAAGCGCTACTAAAGTTTAAATTTGTTGTTTTACATACACACGTGTATATATAATATTGATTTTTTGTTTTGTTTTTGTTTGCATTTGCTTTGTTTTTCCTCATCTTTCCTTCTTCTTCTTCTTTAGGCCTTAACGCTTTTCACTTGATTTTTGTAGATATAATATATGGAAATTGTTAAACATTACTTAGTCACGTGTATATATATATATATATATATAGGAGTATGTAAAAATTCTACACACATACATATATATAACTCTATCCATAGTTTGGTATTTAGTTTTATTCCTTTTCTTTAACCATATATCATTATTGTTTACAAATACTTTGAGGAGCACTGGACGTGTCTAAGATTCTTCATCATCTTCTTCTTCTTTTCCTATACATCCATCCATTGAAGAACGTGGAAATCAAAAAACAAAAAGAAAAAACATTTAAAGCGTTGCATACTACTTTTTTTTTTTTAAAATATTATTATTTTTTAAGCCTGGCGTAAAGTAAAAAAAAAAAAGAAAAACACATTTAATTTTGTTTTGTTTCTTTTAGCTCTACAAATTAAAAGTTTTTACATTTATTAATACTCTATTAAAAAAAGAAAAAAACAAAGGAAATTAAATTTGTCAACTGTTTTTTTTTTTGCTTTAGTTTTCTATTTGTTGTTTGTTAATTATTAAATAGATCACATTCATGGTTCTATTTCTTTCACTTGCTTGCGTAGTTTTTTATGTTCACATTTGTTTTAAACTTGTTTCTTTTACGTTAAATACATTAAATACGCTTAGAAATTGCGTTTTGTGTTTTTGTTGTGTTATATTTACATGTGTATTTTATATTTATTAGTTTTAGTTTGCTTGTAATGTTAAACAAAGTGTAAAGAAAATGCGTATTTTGTTTTTTTTCCTCATGTGTGTGTATGTTTTTTTTTTCTACTTTAATATGAGTTTTTTTTTTTTAGTTTTAGTTTTTAAATTAAATATCCTTGCAGTATTTATTGTTTGTATATTTTTGCGGAATAAGAATTCTATTTTTGGGGAAATATTTGTTACTATTGTTTTTTTTGTTTGTTTGATTATTGGGTTCTATAAATGTTTAATTAGTTTTTTATTTCTATAAATTTTGTTTTGCTTTTTTAGATTTAAGCTGCAAGCTGCAAGGATTTTTGTATGTAGCGAGATCTTTTTTGGGTGTTTTTTTTTTGTGTTTTTTATTGATTAAAGTATAAATAAATTCTGTTTGTTGCACATGCGTGTGTTTTTATGAGTGTGTGTGTGTATTGTATGTAAATTGTTTAAATGTATTTTAGCTTAAATTTGTCAAATACTTGTTTTACGGCTTGAAATGTTTTTCTTTTGTGTTTTTTTTTTTTGTTGTTTTTGCAGCTATAAAAGTTTTGAAATCGGCTTTTAGAATTTGTTTTAGTTATTAATTTTTTAATTTGTAATTTGTATTTTACGCTACGCTATAAATTATTTTAAAATTTATTAACACAGATGACTTTATAGATTTCTTTTCCCAAACATTTTGCTTTTACAAATTTCTTCCATTCTTTAGCATTCAAATTGGATTTTCTTTCTCTTACTTTCCTTTAAATTTTACTCACAAATACATTTAGCTGCCCCACTGTATATTAAGCATATATATTATTGTTGAATGCAATGCCAATTGTTTTCTT